ATCTTGTATTTTCAAGACAAGCCTTGCCCAAATATTCTGCTAGGCTGACCCTCTTGAAGCCACTGAGATGGCCTGGAAATGGCAGTATTTCCACATGTACCTCTTAGACTTTTCTAGTACAGGGCACTTCTTGGATGGACCCTTAGACAATCTGGTAAAGTATTCACAGAATAATGTTTTCCTTTGTTTTGTTTTGTTTTTTGTTTTTTGGAGATGGGGTCTCACTCTGTCACCCAGGCTGGAGGGCAGTGGCACAATCTCGGCTCACTGCAACCTCTGCTCCTGGGTTCAAGCGATTATCCTGCCTCAGTCTCCTCAGTAGCTGGGACTACAGGCGCCCACCACCACACCCAGCTAATCTGAATAATGTTTTAAGTGTATAAAATAAAATCCAACATAATTATAGTTAACAAATTTTTGTAAACCAAATTTTTGATAAAGCAATATATTTGTATCTTTATTAGGACATTGAATAACAAGATCTAGCAGCAGAGCTAATAACTACCATCATTTTGAAGATGTGATGAACATAAATTTTTTGAGAAATCTGCAACAACTCGAATATGATGTGAAAATATCTGTGATTTCTTTTAGTGAAAAGTCACAGGGATGGCTAATATGATAGTGGTTTGTTGCTTATATTCATGATTGAAGGAAATAATAAATTTCATCTAGAGGTTAATGAAAATAGAGACATTTCTCATTCAAGTTCACAGATCCTGTGCTAGTGCCTATCTAGATATGGTACAATCAACTCTGATCCACTCTGACTTTTAGAGCCTAGATTCCAGTTTCAGCGCTGCTTCTTATGGTCTGGGTGACCTAGAAGGAGCCATTTTCCCCCACAGAGCTTCAGTTTCCTTATCTGAAAAATGAGGGAACTGGACCAGATCCTCTCTGAGGTTCCTACTAGATCCTCTCCAGATTCAATGGCCCTTTACTTCTCTAAGAGTCTCAATAAGTGAGTGAGATAAAGGGTGCTGCAACCATAGCAGTGGGTGCTAAAGTGAATGGACAGAAGACTTCATTCATGGCTAACACTATACAGAGGGGTGGGCAGGACCTGCCACACCTTCTCGGCCAGGCTCTTTTGCTCAGTTCAGCCTCAGCTTGGTGGCCAAGGGCTGTGTCCCTCACTGACCGTTCAAAGCGCATGACTTTGGCCAGGAGCAGCTGAAGGGGCTCCGCGTAGTTCCGATAGCTATCCAGAACCTGCAAGATGTTACAGACGGCCTGGATCTCATCCTCTGTTCTCCAGGAAGGCTTCTTCTGCATGATCTGAATGGCCTTTGGAGGAAAGTGACCCTGGGGAGAGAGGACCAGAGTGATACAGGGGACCCAGCAGTTTCGCCCATGGGCCAGCGGGCAACACCCCATAGTACTGCTCGTACTTTCCCATTCCCTGTACCACAGTGGCTGATATGTGATGAGTGCTTACTGTGTGTCAGGCACTGGGATAAACATTTTACATGCACATCTCACTGCATCCTCGCCAGCCCAATAACTGTTATTCCATTTGACAGATGAAGAAACTCAGGCAGGATTAGGAATAGATCTGACACATATCAATGCTGACATCCCCCGACCTGTGCTATTCATTGACCTTCCCAGGCAATACAGGCTTCCCTGGGCTCCAGTGGTCCTGCAGAGTCTGCTCAGGACACACACAGAGCAGTCAGGGGAGAACTTCGCCTGTGTCTCATCCCAGACCTCAGCGTGCTATAGGAGACTAATGAGCAAAGAGAACCTTCCAGAGACAGACTATTAGCTAAACCTTTTCTTCTCAAGTGAACCAGGCCTCATGGACCAGCACATTCACCTACCACTCCCACCTGCTGAGGAAGTGGCACTGTGAGTTGTGAAAACCCCTCAATGGCTTCCCTCCAACTCATCTCCTACCTCTTCCCTTTGTTCTCTACTCTGGAATTTTCTACTGGTCCCTGGCACATGCTAAGCTTGGCTCTGTCTTGAGGTATCTGCCTGGGCTGTTTTTCTGCCTGGAATATTTGTTCCCTGGGTTTTCTTGTGGATGTGGCTGACTCATCATTCTGGTCTCAGCTCAGATGCTGCCACACCCTCAGTGAGTCCCCACTGGGTCATATTAGCTAAAAGAGTAGTCCCTTCTTCAGTAGGCTCTTGCTATAGAGTGAACGTCCCCTCCAAAACTTGTGTCGAAATATAATTGCCATTCTGACATTATTAAGAAGTAGATGCTGGGCACAGTGGCTCATGCCTATAATCCCAACACTTGGGAGGCCAAGGCAGGGGGATCACTTGAGCCTAGGAGTTCGAAACCAGCCTGGGCAACATGGCAAGACCCTCATCTCTACAAAAAATTTAAAAATTAGCTGGGCATTGGGCCGGGTGCAGTGGCTCACACCTGTAATCCCAGCACTTTGGGAGGCCGAGGCAGGCAGACCACGAGGTCAGGAGATCAAGACCACCCTGGCTAACATGGTGAAGCCCCATCTCTACTAAAAATACAAAACATTAGCCAGTCATGGTGGCGGGCACCTTTAGTCCCACCTACTCGGGAGGCTGAGGCAGGAGAATGGCGTGAACCCGGAAGACGGAGCTTGTAGTGAGCCCAGATCACTCCACTGTACTCCAGCCTGGGCGACAGAGCAAGATTCTGTCTCAAAAAAAAAAAAAAAAAAGCCAGGCATAGTGGCACACACCTGTAGTCCTAGCTACTGAGGGGCACTAAAATGGGAGGACCGCTTGAGCCCAGGGAGGTTGAGGTTGCAGTGAGCTGTGATTGCATCACCGCACTTCAGCCTGGATGACAGAGCGAGACTCTGTCTCAAAAACTAAAAATAAAAAATTTACATAAATGTCAGACTGTAGACATCACTTGGGCAACTTGCTTTCTTCAGTGTTTTTCTAAACAATGTTTTAAAAATGTATCCATTGTTTCCACTGTCTGACAGTTGCTGCAATAATTGAGTCTATGATTCTAAGCCTCTCTAATACTAAGGGTTCTCTATGAGAAGTTCAGCATTATTAGAGGCTCAATATGGACTATACTGAGGCTTAGCTTTCCATCAGAATCCAAATGCTGTGCTGAGGGGCAGGTTATATAACTATGTATGTGTGTGTACTATACATTATATATAATTTTTACTTAGATATAATTCACATGCCTTGTAAGTCACCATTTAAAGTGTACAATTCAGTGTTAAATGTATTCACAGAGTTGTACAACAATCACCACACTATTTTGGAAGCTTTTCATCACCCCAAAGAAACCCCATACTCATTAGCATCACTCAAAGGGCTGGGCTCATTGTTTTTTGGGGGTGGGGTGGGGGCAGGGGAACAGGGTCTCACTCTGTCACCCAGACTGCAGTGCAGTGGCACAGTCATAGCTCACTGCAACCTCCATTTCCCAGGCTCAAGCAATCCTCCCACCTCAGCCTCCCAAAATTCTGGGATTACAGGTGTGAGCCACCATGCCCAGCTGATTATTTTTATTTTTTAATTTTTAGTAGAGACAGGGTCTCAGTATGTTGCTCAGATGGGTCTAAAACTCCAGGGCTCAGGTAATCTTCCTGCCTAGGCCTCCCAAAGTGCTGGGATCACAAGCGTGAGCCAGCACATCTGGCCAAAGGGCTGGTTTTTACATTGAGTCTCCAGCTGGGCTCAGGAGTACACACCTGTAATGCCAGCTACTCAGAAGGGTGAGATGGGAGGATAAATTGGCTCTCTGCTCTTCTCTATGTTGGAACCAGAGTCAAGCATGATTTAATTGAGGGCCACCGATAGGCCTTGCCCATAAGAAAGAATTTTCCCTCTGTGCCTCTTCCCTCCCTCTACTGCGGTGCACAGACTTGCCCTCACATCTAGAGTGCTGTGGCTCTCACATAGGCCCCTAGTTTCCCCTGCCTGAAGGATAGAACCTGATTAACCTTCAGTGCCCAGTGTCACACACCAGCCAGCCTGAAGAGCTGAAGAGACACAGGGCTTGGATGACTGAACTGAGTATGCTTCATACACAAGGGTGCGCGAAAAAATAAGGCTGTGCCCAGGAGAGGCAGGCAACAGAAGCCATACCTGGGCTCCAAGAAGAGAAAGAGGTGGGGCAGGAGATGGGCACAGGTGGCCCTGACACCCATTATAAAGTTCTGTTCTTTCCCCGTTCCCTGAGAAAAAAAACAACATGGCTACTCCAAGCCAGGTCAAGTCAGGTCTGCACTGGTGAGAATTTCAGATCTTCCCTATAAATAGGTAGGCTCTTTTAAATTTTAAATTGGATTTTAAGATTTAATACCCAGGATATCGTGGAGAGAAGCCAAGAAGATAACAATGATGAGACTGAAATTCAGGGAACAAGTCACACAGTCCAAAGCTCCCACAGATATAAAAGCATTCCCTCATCAAAATGAGAGGACTCTTTTTTAGAGAGGGGGCCTTGCTCTCTCACTCAGACTGGAATGCAGTGATATGACCATAGCTCACTGCAGTCTTGAACTCCTGGCCTCAAGTGATCCTCCCACGTCAGCCTTCTGAGTGTCAACAGGTACGCTGCACCCGAATAAGACTCTTGAAGGGTATCTGACACCCAGGTGTGAGAGGTGTGCCCAGCATCTCTCAGAGAATTCAGGGCAGAACCAGAATTCACACAGGTCAGTCCTTTCCCACCACCCGAATTCTTCCTCTCTCTGGGACTCTCACATCCTCTGCTTTTTCTTTTCCTGCTGTTTTCCCATGGGTCCAAGCCCAGGGACTCTCTCCCATTGGTTCTGCTCAACTAAGCAGTGACAGCTGGTTCCTAGATGCGCAGTCTTGGAGCTCCAGGGATGGAAGGAATCACTGAGATCAGCCACTTTATTAATGAGGAAATGAAGTGGCCAACTCAGGGTAACAAGCTGAGTTTGTGGCAGAGACTAGACTGAAACCAGCTCTGCTGATGCCCAGCCAGGGTTTCTTCCAAGCCAGGGTGCAGAAAGAAAATTCCCCCACAGCAAGGTTCGATCTATGCATACCTCCTCTGCAATGAAGTCCATGGTATCAAATGTGACTCGGCTTTGCATCTTTTTCTGAAAGAAAGAGGGCAGGGAAAAGAGGGAGAATCAGCAAGACTGCCCCTAGAACTTTGCATCTAGAGCCCTCCTGTGTACCTGGACCACCATGGTGGGCAGGAAGCCATGGGAAACCTTGCAGCTGGCCCTTTCAGGCCTGCCTCTGCTCAAAAGCCCCAACTCAGCACTAGGCTTGGGTCCAGCATTGACAATATATGGTGAAGGCAGAGAAATATGGGGGTGGGGAGAAGGAAAGGAGGATAAAGAGGAAATAGGAAAGGAGAGAGAAAAAGAAGGGG